ACACACACAACACACACACACACACACATATACATATAGCAAGTTAGGTGTTTAATGGAAATATTTAGGAAGAGTAATGCATTTGCTATATTAATGAAGTACGCTCTATCCTTCCAAATTAAACAAATTACTGTCATATTTTCACAAACTTGCTCCTTCATATTTTAAAGAACATTAACACACAAGGCAGAGGTAAATTACAAAAAGCATTTTAGTTTCCATTTTGATCTCAGAAAGACTTCTTGAAACAGCAATTAAACGAGGTTGTTTTTGTTTTTTTTTATCACCAAAGGTTAGAACAGGAATTAAATGATTGACCAAAGCAGGTAGAATTAATTTCTGTCAACTCATTACTAGTACAATTCTATATGTAAGTAAGAATACTTTGCATACCCACACTCAAAATACCCTTCATATTTGCATCTCTAAGCTTGATGGTGGCTGGAAAGGAAAGGGAAAATGGTGTTAATTGTCACTATATTTTAACATTTGTCACAATTTTAACATCATTTTGCAATTAAAATTTCAAGTTTCAAGAGGAAAAACTGAATTTATATACAGTTGCTATACAGCTTTCTAGAAGTCTCCTTATTCCAGATGAACAATCAATGAATATTTTCTTCTCAGTTCTAGACAAAACAAAAATCTAACAAAAAAACAACACAAGTTCTCATTGGACACAGGATTTCAGACAGAACTAAGTGAGCAGAAACCACCACATAAAATGGAATCAAGTCAATGACCTCAATATGAAATATTTCCAAATAAATCCCTTGAACCATTCAATCTCAGCAGTGTCATCTTTAACTTTTCAGTAAATTGACCTGGATCACAAAGACAGTAAATGTAATTGAAACAAAATGATACTCATGATAAATCTAATTCACCAGTAAGTTCTAATTCCCAATTACACAAAGTAATTTTAGTTAATTAGATGGTCTCCTTACATATTAAATATTATATTAAAAATTTGAGGAAAACATTTCAGAGAAAAGTTTGTAAATTATGTGTCCACAGTGTCTCCTTTTCCTGATGTAGTTTAAAGGTTGTCAGATGACTTCATGTAACATGAAACAGTGCCTTGATTATAAAACTCTGCCTTTCAAACCATCATATTTTGATTATTTTAGTGAGTTACAAATTGTGAAAATGTCAGTTTTTATTACATAACATCCTTTTAAATAATGATTGTGTTTTGTGTGGTTTCATTTATATTAAGAGATCTAAAAGTGATATGTTTCATATTTTAGATCATATTAGTGAAAACTAATAGGATTAGGCTCTGGTAGAAAACATGAAAAAGAGACCACACTAATTCAATAAAATGTAATATATTTCAGAATATCCCTACCTGCAGTTTTGTACATTGTCCACCAACCCCTAGCTGTGAATGTCTCCTAATGAGATTTTGCCCACTGACCTCTGCAGCTCTTCTGGCAATAAGAAGAGGGTGGGAGTGATTCTGCAAAACATGATATCTCAGAACCTCAATTTGCCAGATGAAAGATAAAGCAATTAGGAGGAATGAGAAATACAACTCAGACATCTGAATCTAACTTGGGCTAGGTTGCTTTTTAGTGAAACATACATGGGATATCAGAAGGTACAAATTTAATAGCCACATTTTAAAAAATCTTTTAGGATGATGCATGATTTTTTTAAATATCACCTAATAGCCCAGCCATTGTGACTCAGTGATTGAGCTTCTACCTATGAACCAAGAGGTTACAGTTTGATGCCAAGTCAGGGCATATGCCCGAGATTCTGGGCTTGATCTCCATTGTGTGGGGCATGCAAGAGGCAGCCGATTAATGATTCTAACTCATCATTGGTCTCTCTCTCTCTCTCTCTCTCTCTCTCTCTCTCTCTCTCTCTCTCTTTCTCACTCTGAAATCAATACAAATATTTATCAATCAATCAATATAACCTAATAAATAAGATAAATGAACAGCTGAAGGCTGTAGGTGATGTTTGACCCATCTTTACATTACTGGACTTTAATGTAATTTTGTCATTCATGGACTTTTCATAGTTGTTGGAAGCATTTTAGGTTACATTTCTGGGGAAATATGGATCATGTTTTAAATAATCACACTACAGGATTCATCATGTATTTGTGATCCCTTTTTATAATATTCTCTTAAAAACAAACAAAACAAAAAAACCAGCACTATTTGTGGTGCCTGACCACTCTTATGAAATAAAAATTGTGCTAGAGATAAGGTATAAGTGTCAATTAGCAGATTTTATTGCCATAATCATGAATAACCTCACAATAATCCAACCAGAGAGTTGCACTTACATCTGAATTTTTAAAACCATTTGAAACTCCCTATTAATAAGTGCATATTTGTACTCATTATAAGACTTCTTGGTATGCCATGCTAATTACTTTCTGCACTCTGGTTCCCAAACCACAATGAATCCTATTATAAAAGCAAATCACTGCAAACTTCAAACAACATGCCTCCCTGAGATGCCACTATTAAGGGAGGTACAGTGATGGGAAGTCTTTGATGTTATCAGATGTGATGGGAAATACTTATTTGTACTTGAGTAAGTCCTGTAGATTGAAGCATTTCCTCCCCACCTCTAAATAACCTGAGACCAATTTCAAGTTCCCAAATGCTCTTCAAAGCAGCCCATGTTGGAAGTAATGCTGATGGCATTTCAAATTTCAAGGCGGCTTGTTTTTTTTTCTGTCTCAAGACTTCAAGCACATTTGCAATTTTACTTTCAGAGAGAAAGGATATTACCTGCTTTTACCCACACCACTAGCTTCTGGCTTGATGAGTGAAATGGGATAGGCCAAGAATGAATGTACCTGTGATATGAAAAGGTGGTATGTAACCAAGGAGTTCAGTGTTTGAGGAATGCAGCAGTCTCTAAGGCATTCTAGGCTGTGTTTAATTACTCTGGGTTCAGTTCTTTCTTGTTCTCCTGTAGTTTGACCAAAACTCGGAATGTAATCTTTGAGCTTGTGGTAGGACAACTGTGCATGACTGTAATACATCCCCTTCTGAATGGGGCATCTGAGAAGCTGAGGACAAAAATTGGTGTGTGCTTGGCTCCAGCGGGCACAGGGAGCTTGGGCCACACAATTCAGAACATTCATACTGCGAGTAATTCCTGTACAGGAGGGTCAGTCTGTGGCTTCTTAAAAGGCTTCAGATTCGTGGTCAGTAGAATGTACTTGAGCTAAAAGGTTACAGTGACCCTAGTGAAGTTCCCCTAGCATTTAATTAGGTTTCCTGTAATTGCTTTAAGTAAAAGGGGTGAGGGGAATGAAACCTAACGTTATCATCTTGGGGTAGAAAATATGTGTATGTGGTTTTAATATCCTGAGCCAATTTGTGGCTGCTCTGCATTTTGGAAAGAGCCGTAATAGGTCTAAAGAAACACAGACAGCAAGTTTATCAGCCCTTTGGTGACTGTAAATTACTGCAGCAATTTTATAAGAAGAGCTTTGTTTCCAGTAAGTGAATTTCTACACAAAGGGAGAAGGTATAAACAAGTAAAACAGGCAAAAGTATTAAACACCAGAAAGTGGAATTTTTTAAAAGTTGGGGGGGAGCAATAGAAAAGCAGTGATTCATCTTTGCATGAATTTCTAGAAGTGGGGAAAACTACAATGATTACAATAAGATAGGAAGATGAGGGGCTTAGGCAGGGACCAGGAAAGTAGTATTTGCTGATAAATTGGAATTGTTGCTGAAGTTAATATGTTTCTTCCTCACAATAATCTCAGTTCATTGAGGAAAATCACCATCTTACTCTCATTTCCTAATAGCTTACTGCCGTGTCTTTTATATAATGGATACATACTAAATATTCGTTAAATGAATGGATGGATGGGTGGATGGATGGATGGATGGATGGATGTATGGACTGAGGAATGGTAGAAAGCAATATGTTTAAATTTTCTTCCTGTGCTCATACTTGATGCAGAGCAAATTCTTCTACTCCCCAAGGGTGCTGCCCCTGATAGTTCTCTCCATAGACACTCCATCTGGAAAGTGCAAGTTCGGTCTCTAGGAGAACTAACAGTCACACGCATATATCTTGTAGATCTCTGTTGTTGCTCAGTGCGAAGATGCAAATTGCAAAATGAATCTCTGAAATAGGCTTTGAATCCTCAAGATAAACACCCCTAAAATGATAATCCCAGATTCTCAGTACAATTTATGTTATTGAGGATTACGTAACTCTGTGAAATAAATTCTAAGTATTGGAGCATTTTAGCTGGAGACCACTTTATCTTTAACAGGATTTTGGTTACATTACAATTATACAAAAACATTTGGGCTTTCAAAATATTATGCCTGAAAACCTTCAAGTCATACATTCTTTGGATAGAATAGTAGAGGTTTGTTACCTGGGGTTACTATATCTTTCAAGAAAAAGTGTGCCTAATAACTGAAACACATATGCTAACATAATTTAATTGTTAAATAATCACCACATATTTATAAACTACTTGCTGATATGATAAAATGTGATATGTAGATAGACATATTTCTGACTTATGCACTTATGACTATAGTTTTAGGTGGTTCTCTCTCATTTCATGTGAACTAAAAGATTTAGTTCTCTAATTCAGTGTATAGCATGTGGGTCTCTTACCCACAGCCTATATATTTGAGGAAGAATCCTTAGAAGCTGTGAAATTCAGGTTCACATTTAAATATACAGGAGGAGATAACTTGGTGGAGGATGATTATTAGGCCATATGAGGAAAAGTGTAATTTTGTGGAATAATAGATCTTCACTTTCATCTTCTGATAGAATCCAGAAGATTTGAGAAAGCAAATAAGAGAATGAAAAAGTTGTGAGTCAAGTTACTGGAGCCAGAGGAAAATCAGAGGAGATGAGAGGCAATATCTGGGGTGTTGATCTACAGCATCAAGAAGGATCAGGGAGTGGAGAAAAGTATGGTATGATGTTTTGTATTTCCTTAGTACAAATCTTCTCCTGACTTAAATCTTCCTTTCTCTGGTTAGGTCTCATTGTCCGGGAAGTGAGCATTGAGATTTCGCGCCAACAAGTGGAAGAACTCTTTGGGCCTGATGATTATTGGTGCCAGTGTGTGGCCTGGAGCTCAGCGGGCACCACCAAGAGCCGGAAGGCCTACGTGCGCATCGCATGTGAGTCATTGCGCATGGACCCAGGGGGTCTTCGGGTGCCGGTGGAATGTGGGCAAAGTTAGAATGCAGCTGCTCTAGCATCAAAAAAACCTGGTCAAAAATGGCTCTCAGACTTCTGCATTTGAGCTACATTTTTACCTTACGTCAGCAGAATATTATTATTTTTTTGTTTGTGTCAAGGCACTGAATAATTTTCCTTTTGTGACATGAAAAAAAAAACAGTACTACTTTCAAAAGATTCTGATATTTTGAAAATCTGGTAATAATTAGGTTATGGGAAAACCAACTATATTCCTTTAATGAGTTTATGTTGCCAATTTAAGACAATGTTGACTAGATTTGCTATTGGGGACAAAGATTACCCAGACAAAGCTTTTCTGTTTATTTTGGAAACATTCTACTGCATCAAAATTACCACTATTTTCCACACTGCGTTAATTTTAGAGTATTCATGTTCAGGGAGCAGTTCAGCAGTGCCTCACAAAAAGGATTGTATAATCAAATCAATGTTGAAAATACCAGTCCCGCCTCTTTTTTTTTTTTTTTTTTTTTTCTTTTTGGCCAAAGTTATAGAAGTTTCTTCATTGCAGAACTTCCTAGATTCTTTAAGATGGTGATGTTAATATGCTATTATTATCCCCCAAAGGAGAGATAGCCTGCAGCTATATCTTTTCTCAATGAATGCTACTCATATCCTGAGCAGCATGAATGCTGCTATAATCTGCTTTAATGTTCCATTTTGAGAAATTTTCTCAAGTATGAAACCAAAACTTACAATCTATGCAAATTTTATTCTCCGAACCCCTTTGCAGGTCTGCATTTTTCTAAATCCCTCTTTGTGGCAGATGTCAATATCACTTATCTCTACGGTGTCACTAAGTTTCCAACAGTCCTGGCTCGGATGCTTCCCCAATTCCATACTTGCCTCTTCCTTCCCTTTCCCATGATATAGACCACAACCACTGTAAATACTTCCCAGTTTTGTTTGGGCCTCAAGCTTTTGCCCTCCTCCAACCTTCTTCCATATCACCACAAATGCAATCTTCCTAAAACCCAGGCCTCATCTCCTCTCTGCCTGCTTAAAATTTACAGGGGCTGGTGTGAAAAGTCAACATTCCTTACAATGGCACATATCATTATGCTAGTGTTTTAAGGCTGCCAAAACAAAACACCACAGAGAAGTTGGATTAAACAGCGCATCTTTTCTCACTGTTCTAAAAGCTATAAGTCTGAGATCAATATGCCAACAGTATTGATTGCCTCTGAAGCCTCTGTCCTTGGCTTGGAGATAGTCATATTTTCTGTGTCTTCACAAGGACTTTCCTCTGTAACAGTCCAGGTCCAGATTTCTCTTCTTAATATGATTATTAGTCATTTCATCCAGTATTGCTCAGTGGTTGAGCGTCGACCCAGGAACCAACAGGTCACACTTTGATTCCTGTTAAGGACACATGCCCAGGTTTCTGACTCAGTGGGAGCATGCATGAGGCTTCTAATCAATGATGTTTCCTCTCTCATCAATGTTTCCATATTTCTATCTCTCTCCCTTCCTCTCTTTCTAAAAACTAATAATAATAAAAACATTAAAAAAAAAAAAAAAAAACAACTAGTAGTTATTTTAAACTAGGGCCACCCTAAGGCCTCATTTTAACTTAATTACCTCTTGAAAGGCCTTTTCTCCAAATAAAATCATATTCCGAGGTACTGGGGATTAGGACTTCAACACACAAGTTTTGGGAGACACAACATAGTCCATAACTACGCATTTCATGTTTTATATATCCAGCCTTTGTTTCCAACTCTGACCACAAAGAATTTCTCCATATTAATCATGCTACATTAGAAATATCTTGATTTATATGCTTTCTAGATATTGTTCATACTGAAGGAGCTCACCTTTATCTTACTTCCCTTCATTATTTGTAAAAAGTCAATTATTTAGCAAACATGTTGTCTTTCTTGGAACAATTGTAGTTATTTGGTGTGACATGAAACAAACAAAGTGATGATCCCTGCCCTCATGGAGCTGGATGTTCTGGTGAGGAAGGGAAAACTCTAAATCTAATCACTAGTAATCAGAGACACACAATTGGTAAATTCTACGAACAAAGCAAGAAATGGTACTAAGCAGTGCTACGTACGGGGTGGTGTTCAAGGAAGAAGTTGGCAATTGAAGGAACCCAAAGAAGGAGAGGGAGGGAGTCAGGCAGAAGGAAAAGGAAGTTGGAGATGTATGGGTGAATATCCTGAGGCAGAAGGCAGGCCAGTTCCAAGAAAACCGCATTGACCACAGTGGCTGGAAGAGATTGAGTGAGAGGAGACTCCTGCATGAGCAGAGAAAATTAAGGTATGGAGACATATGTAATACTTTCAACAATAAATGTTTAAAAAATAATAATAATTAGCCCTAGCCAGTTTTTCTCAGTGAATAGAACTGACAGATCCCTGGATACAGATCATAATAATCTGGCCACTCAATGTATATGTAATATTGTGAATTATTGTGTTGAATTTTTTAAATATATAACTCATTATTCATGGTCTCTTATGTCATTTTTCCCCCCATTTCCTATCTTCTCAACCTAGCAAAAAAAAAATTAATTAATTATGGAATTTAGCCAAATAATGTATTTCTTTAACTAGGTATTCTGAAAGATTTATATTATACTATGAAAGTATCTTGATGTTTAATGCCAAATATTTTGATAGAGCTTAGCAAGCTTGCCAACATATTGGAATAAATCACCTATTTATTAAAGTGCTGTTTGATTTTTTGTACAACCATTTAAACCCCTAATAAGTCCATTATAAACTACAGAGGCCATATTTTGAAATAGAGGAAATTAATTATAGAATTTAGACTTTTTATAGAAGAGAAAAAAAATTTAATATATTTTATTGATTTTTTACAGAAAGGAAGGGAGAGGGATAGAGTGCTAGAAACATCGATGAAAGAGAAACATTGACCAGCTGCCTCCTGCACATCCCCTATGAGGATGTGCCAGCAACCAAGGTACATGCCCTTGACTGGAATCAAACCTGGGACCTTTCAGTCTGCAGGTCGATACTCTATCCACTGAGCCAAACCAGTTTCGGCGGATAAGAGAAAATTTTAACAATTTATTTCTTCTTCCATTATATAAATCTCAGCTATTATATTAAATAGTATTTAATCATGATGTTTCTATTTCAAGATTAAATGTTATAATAGTATCAATCTATGTTTTTCCAAACATATTTGCTTTTATATTTGGATAGAAGGTCCCAAGATTTGTAGAAGACAACAAATCTATAGACATTTATAGCCCATATTTATTTTGAGAGCTAGACATCCAATTGATTGAAAACTGTCTCATAAGTTATATTTTGGGGAAAATCATTTATTTATTTGCTATAGAAAGAGCTGGTAACCCATCAGACTAAAATGTGGCATTAAAGTAATCTTTTATGCTATGTGAAAAAGGGAAGTTTATGGCTAAAAGGCTTATTTGCAAAAAGGCTTGTCTGCAATCATTGCATTCTTTTTTTGTACTCTGAGAAAAAGTCTTAACTTTTTGATATGTCAGGTACTCATCCATAAAGTTGTCATGTTTCTTATTATTTATCCTTAAGATATGCCTTAAAAAATGTTGTGATGACATATAATCATTTTTTTCTGAAATGAAAGATGCAGTGTGAATTATAAAAGAATGGCTCGTATGTGTTTTTTCTCTTACTCTTCTCTGTAATGGATTTCATTTGGAGTTCTAGCTCTAAAATACTTATTTGGGAAAAAAAAAACTTTAGCAGAACTCTGTGAATACAAATATGTCCTATAAATACCCCAAGTCCAAGAAATAAAGATGAAAGGCTGAAATGATCCTTCCTTCTTCAGGGACTATAATCATGATAGATTTCTCTGTTGAAATGATCTCAGTGCAGTAAGGAAGTAGCCATACCTCAGCACAACTTAACCCTTCACCATAATAATCTTTAGCTTATTTGCTTAAAGATCATTCTAACCTCTATCCCTAGGTATGGATTATGGTATAGTAAAAGGTTTGGTGATAAATTCTTAAGAGTCATGAAAAACAGCTTTTTCAATTGTAAGATGAGGTTACAAAATGACAGAAACCAATCAGTGTTTCATCTTCATTAAACTTTTAAAAATTCTCTGTCCTAGTAGCCAACATTTATGGTGTCCTTACTGTGTGCCCAATTATGTTGTAAAGCCTCTTGTGCCTGACAATCCTGAGAGAGATCCTGGTTTGATCCCTATTCTGCAAATAACAAAACAGAGGCATGGAAGCAGATAACTTGCCTGAATCACTTGTTTAGGAAATGATAAGGCTGAGTGTTAAGCAAACTCTTCCCTTTGCAGTCCAGTTCATTGTGCAGATTTTCAGAAATGTGACAATTATTGACTTTTCTATCTAACCATAGAGGAAACTTCAAAGTAGTTTGTTTTTATTGGTTGATTGCTTGACTTTTGTCTTCTTTGTTTTATAGTTTCCAATATTCTAGAAGAACAAACAAGTGGGGGGTAATTCTGTTTTTTACATACTGTATTCCTTACATTTAAATATTACAGACTTTCTGATAATAAACATTTTCATGATTTACCCAGATCAGTGGTTGGGTGTAGACCTATAACCCTGGAGTTACGGTTCAATTCCCAATGTGGGGCACATCCTTGGGTTTGGGGCTCGATCCCCAATGTCAGGCGTGCAGGAGGAAGCTGATAGATTATTTCATCTCATCATTGATGTTCCTATCTCTCTCCTTCTCTCTTCCTCTCTGAAATCAATAAAAAATATTTTTTAAAAATAAATGAAAAAAATTCATGATTTTCTAAAAATCCAGCAAAGGTAAGATACTCAATTCCTGAAAAATGAGACTATGATAAACTTTTGAAGGTTCTATTGCCTAAACTCAGGCATTTTTCACTTTTAATAAGTGTATAATGTGCAGAAGACTAATCTAGTTCTCACAAAATGTGCTGTACTGGTCTGTTCACAGCA